TATTTTTAATTGTGATGATATTTTCACACATGCCTGCACACACACAGATGCATGCACATGCACGCACACACATGCCCCATCTGGCTGTTCTTAGCATGTTCTTATCTCAGTACAAAGTATATGCTGTTTTACTAAGATAAATTAAAATAATCATTAATATCAGATAGAGAAATTCATCAGATTTTTATTCCTACACATCCTTATTTAGTCTGCTGGAAGGGAATTTATTTTAGAAATTCTGTCAAAAAAGAGAGTTTTGGAGATACTCTAATGGATGTAGTATTCTCACATTGACTTAATAATGAGAGATACAAGGGGATTGTATAAACAGTGAATGTTCATTACAAAGTCATCTTCTCAGTATGTCACTGAATGCCTTGGGAGCTCAACTGAATGCTAGCAGAAAACCAATATGAGAGAAATTTCATGATTTGTTTGTTTTCAGTAATAGTGTTAATAAAGAACAGTCTGTCCTTCAGAATGTGTTTGGAAAACCTCTCCTTCTCTTAGGATATTTCCAAGAAATCAACCAGCTAATTTCTCTGACCACAGATTAGGTGGATAATTTTGAAAGGCCATCTGGGCCTTGCTCTACGAACTGCTACTTCAAGGGGCCACTTGGCTGTAAATAGAATCCTGGGAACACTTCTGGAAATAGGGCACTCCTTGGAATGACATGAAATCTATCTTGATTATAGATTTCATTCTAAAACTGAGATTATTTTATCCCACCTTCTTGAAATGCCAGGGTATGCTGGTTGAAAATGTTGATCCCACCAGTGACAGGGTCATCGCTTTAAGATAGACAGTCATATAAACTGTCCAAATAAATAAATACCCAACTAGAGTACTGTCCTGAAGACCAGTATAACCTTCATCTAAGTTCCTGACAGCCAAGAAAACAAATGGATGGATCACTGAAGAAATCAATCCAGATTTTTTCATTTAAGGCACAAATGATCAGGCTCAAATTGTCCTTTTTTGGGGGGACACATTATGGAAAGGTCCAGCTCTCTGTAAAAAGCTCTGATGCTGTGAAAGGTGGAAGGAAAAAGAGGAAAAATATAACCAGCAGCATGTGGATAGAGTCAATTGTGATGGTGATAAGTGCACCTTTGGGAAACCTGAAAGAGCAGGTTATCCATAGAAGGGAATATTTGTCATTCAGGGTGAGAACTGTGGGGTCCTTGATGCTCTTTGAGCATGGTTATTTTCTTGCAGATGTTTCATTACCAAATTGGTAACATCGTCAGTGCTAGAAGGGTGTGAGTTTGTTCTCTTTTTTTATATCCAGTCAGTGTTGGTGGAAGTGTTCTTGGTGGTTCCTTGTTTGTTAGCTTGTTTGTTCTAAGTTGGTACTTCCAATAGGCAGATAAAGATAAACAAGATAGCCAAAAAACCAAAAAAGAAACAATAGCCAAAACACCTCTTTAGCAGCAATCAACATCCAGATGATCAGTGATTGATACCACATTTAGAACTAGACCAACAATCCAGAAGTAAACAATACCCCAATCAAAGAAGTATGTAAAAAGTATATAAATATAAGCATTATGTATGGTCACTGCTTTAAATTATTTATAAAAAAAAAATAAAGAAGGGATAAGAAATTAATAAAAATTAAAAAATAACTTGGGACTCAGAAACATACATTAGTAGCAACCAAGCCCTGGGACCTGTGTGCTTGGCCAATCTTAGGAGCAACCTCCATCCCAGATGTTTTTGAGCCAAACAAAGGAAAAACCTGAAGGAAGCATTTATGCTCCTTTGCCACTTTCACACTGGTTCCCGCATAGAATATATGGGATGTCTGTGTGGGAGCCACTATGAATGTAGAAAAGGATCCTTCTTTAGATGGCATAATCCTTTCCTTCTATTTACACAAGTATTTGAGGCAGTAGGATATTTCAGAGTAAATTGCTTCAGGGATCAACATAGTTCCTTTAATTAAGAATTGATTCCTCCAGGGATCTGAGAGTAGAACACCTTCTTGTTCCATCATTCAGTTTCCTTAAAATAAGGGTAGAAACTGACTTCCTTCCATTCTTGTCCTGCTAGTTCAAAATAGATTGTTTCTGTTTCTCACACTGCAATGACCCAAGTCTTGGTTTTGGATTGCCATTCTACATTCAACTTTTCTGCTTCCCTGCCTGATCTTGAATTCAACAACATACTGTATGCTTGATATTTGATATCATTATTATTTCTTTTCCCTGCTCCAAAATGACATAGAAATAATTTCTCTTTGGGTACAGAAATAAAAAAGGAAAACCATGCAAATCATATTCATGAATCATGGCATATTGTCCTTCCTTCCCCAATCTGGAAGACTACAACTAGTTAGGGGATACACTTACAGCAAATATATGTTCAGAGGCCAAAAGCAACTGGAAGAAGCTGACCTTTCAATAGAAAATTGGCACAACGCCCCACTCTAGATCAAAGGAATGCTCCAGACCATGACCTATATCTACTATTTTCTTTATGATAACCCATGTTTGAAATATAGGACTAATTTGATGTATGGCTTGGAGCTCAATATCAGATGCTGGAGCAAAATGAGGAATGGCTGAATTTTTTATGTCTCTGCTTTGCAGAGGCATTTGCCTGGATGTTATTGGAAATAGAAGACATAAGAGATGTTGAGATAGCTCTGAGGCTAAATTCTGAGAAGGATAGCAGCTTTGGAGCTTTGTAATATCAGTCTTTACATTCCAGTTATAAAACTAGATATTAAGGGCAGAGCTCATCTATCCAGAGGGGGAGGAAAGCTGGGGACATGACAAGAGGTCATTTTGTTGCACAAGACTTGGTGTCTCAGTTTTTCAAGTAAGAAAATGAGTAGAGGAATTCAAAACATATTTAAAAAAAATCCATTGTAGGGAGTTACCAGCTCCATAGTGATGCTATGTTTGTATCAGCAGTGCAGAAGATAGGAACTGTCTGGGTAGGAAATAAATCTGCCAGTTTTAGGTCTAATATACTTTCTTCCTACCATATTTTGATTGCCGTGTAGCATACCGTCAACATTCCTCCCTTTGGTTTCTGCCCCCACCACATACCCATCTATTTTCTCATTAATAGTATGATGCGTATATTTTATTTTCAGCATTACTGGGATTGAAGGACAGGTGGTCCACATTTGGTGACTATAATTGGGACTGGCAACTTGTTCATTAAGCAGAGTGGTTGCCAAGAAAAACTGCAACTGTGCTTACAATCTCTGTTGCTTTACAGGGCTTGTGAAGGTCATCAATGTGAGGCTCGAGCACAAAGTTCCCTTTTCATCATTGTTGTAACTCTGAACAGTTGCTAAATGAGGCATTTACTAAATGAACATTGCCTGTAAAGGTGACAGAGCAGCAAAGCAGAAGAGGATTCCATAGCTGTAGCTAGAAGGTTTATGAGGCTACATCTTCCCACACCTCAATATCTATGGAGATTCTCAGTCACCCAGGTCACCCAAGAAGCTTTTTCAGTTCAGAACTGAACTGAACTGGATGAAAAGTGAAACTTCTTCAAAGAAAAACAAAGTCCAGTTGCCTTTTGAAAAAGTACCTTTGGGACCTTTTTACACCTACAGCCCTCCTTTCTAAGAGTAAGCAATTTACTCTGTTGCATGGTTGCTGGTTCAGTTTCCAAAAAAGCATAAGTTAATCATAACTTAACCCAGATTTTAAAAATGTACATATTGTTAGGAATATAATTCTAACGGTTGGGTTGGCAATATATAAATCATGTAACAATGTTGTACCTGTTTCTTTAAATCATGCTGTAAATGTGATTGGTTGCTGTTTTCCTCAATCGGCCATAAGAGGGAGCCAGAATGCCTGTTAGTTCTCTCTCTGTTTGTTAGATGCTGGGCTGAACTGATCTGAGGGTTGTGAGCTATTGTATGTTTTTGCAACTGTTAGCAAACTTTGTGTACCGGACTGATTGTATGATTATGGACTATGTTATTTGGATTGTCCCTTAACTGAAAGACATTGATGACTGACTGAATTATCCATGTATGACTTGGACCAGTGTTTTTCAACCACTGTGCCGCGGCACACTAGTGTGCCG